TTTTGCTGTTTGTGTTCCTGGCACATTTGCAAGTGGATAATGCAATGTGAGGATCTTTCTGCAATTTAGAATGTGCTTTGCAGGTTGTTATAGAGGGATGATTCGTGTTGATGTGAACTGGGACTTAGTTGCATGATGAGTTAACTTTTCTTTTCTGATGTGTGGTCCGAGAAGTACAGAGCTTGTATGGAAGGTGTTCCTCAGAGTCATGAAGCCCAGGTTTTCTAATTTGGTAATTTCAGATCCATCACTTCAGATTGGTGAAAGAAAATAGAAGGCAGCAAGTGGGTTTAAGGCTGTTCAGATTGAATTCTACATGTTACTCTTCTGCCATGGCATTTTAAGGTTGTACTTGGAACTGGAAGAGGAAAAATTGCAGTGCAGCCTTTCATCCCTGTTGCTTGTAGAAATCTGTACCAAAGAGCTTGAAAATTGTATTTTGCTACTGTGTTACTCAAATTTTCAGACTTGTTCTGCATTTTACTAACAAGTATTTATAACATTCAGTAAACATAGGTTGCACTCTTTACCCTAGAGCAGGGTCAAGCTATACCTGCAAATAAGTATGCAACTTCCTGGGTTATCATGAGATAAGTTTGCCTTTGAAGTGCTGTTGGGTACAGTCTAATCTATTGTAAAAATAAATAAAGAAAAGTTGCTCTTCACAAGTATTTTTAGAAGCCCTGGAGATCTTTGGCATACATGAGTTAACTGCCTCTAGGGAAAAGCCTGAAGTTCAAGGGAGGTAGAAAAATCACAAAGCCCCAGAAAATTCCGCTGTCGGTGAGGCTGTCGATATGCAGCTTTCAGGAGCGATGCTTTAGGAAGTGACTGTCTGGCATGGTGTGCCAGTCAGCAGAAACTACTTGGCTGAAAAAGGCTGTGTAGCTGTTGTCGCTATTCTTTGTTACTGCGATTGGTGTTGGCCTTAAAGAAGAGAATCAGTGGAGACTAGGTTAATGAACTCGCTGTGCTGCACAAAAATATCCTGGATAAATGAACTCCTATATAACCTAAGTCCAGTGATGTGCATCAGTAACATGTAGTCTGATCATTAACATAGTTACTGTAACTACGGTGATTATCAGGACCTGTTATGTCTGTATTGATCTAACTTAACGGGGGGCTGCTGGAAAAACAGCCAGCAATGAACAATTAGCAAACCCAGCAGAGTAATTTCTGGATTCATAGGGTGTTTAGGTAATTTAAAAGATGGGGAGAAGTTATTCCTTTTGAGTATCTAAAGCAGTGTGGCCAGCAGGTCAAGGGAGGTGATTCTGCCCCTCTACTCTGCTCTCATGAGACCCCACCTGGAGTGCTGCCTCCAGTGCTGGGTCTGTTGGAGTGAGTCCAGAGCAGGGTCATGAAGTTATCAAGGGCCTGGAGCACCTCTCCTATGAGGATTTTCTGAAAGAGTTGGAACTCTTGAGAAGCAAAGGCTCTGGGGAGAACTTACTGCTGCCTTTCAGTAGCTAAAAGGGGCTTCTAAGAAAGATGGGGACAGACTTCTTATCAGGGCCTGTTGTGATAGGACAGAGGGTAATGGTTTAAAACTAAAGGAGGGTTGATTTACACTTGATAGAAGGCAAAGATTTATTTTTTTTATCATGAGTGTGGGAAGCACTGTAACGGTTGCCCAGAGAGGTGGTGGATGCCCCATCCCTGGAAAAATGCAAGGTCAGGTTGGATGGAGCCCTGATCAATTTGCTGTAGTTGAAGATGCTCATTGCAGAGGCCTTGGACTATCTAAACCCTTAAAGGTCCCTTCCAACATAAACCATCCTGTGATCCTGTACACTGCACCCCAGGTACAATATAAAGCTGAATGTGCCTTCCTGTGGGACTAAAGGCCTCAAGAATACTTGGACTGTTTAAGAGATGTCTTAAGAGGGAGAATCAGAGCCATTTGTCAGGCTGCAACCTCAGAGGAAACACCTCAGAGGAAACACATCCTACAAGGGGGTGGTTGAAGGAGGAGGCTTCCTCACATTCCAGGAGATGGGTATATAATAGATTCTCATGTTATTGATGTTTCTTTTCTCTCCAGAGCTTTATTTCTAAGTAACAATTTTATTTCATTAAAGCTTAAGGTTATTGAAGAATATCAGAGGTCCTAAGGAAGAGCAGAACCAGGAGTTGTCCAAAGCATTGGCTGCAAAAAGGACCTTTATCATAGCCTGGTTTGAAAGTGAATACCATTTTCATTGTCAACATCATATCCTATGTAGTAGGGTTGTAACTGGTGCACAAATACTATATCTGCAGAGAGTGAGAGAATGTAAAGATATATGTCTCTTGGTATATGAAATGTGAAACAGGAGAAATCAGTCTTACAAAATTCTGGAAACAGAGCTGTCTGTATGAAAAGTAGAGATTAGATACTTAAATGGATGCTAAGCACTTCCAGGAATATGGTAGTTAAATATTTTAGTGCATGTAAAGGCCAGGGTGGGAGCAGGATTTGGAACAGAACAAATGTTTGTGCTTCAGAATATAAACAAACCTCTTACTAGGGATAAGTGGAAATTATTGGTGGCTGAAACACCTAGTACTAGACTGGTTTTGTTTTTCAAAGTTCTTTTTATGAGGCATCTTGTTCTGGTTGTTTTCTGATGCTATGAAATACATTACTAGAGAAGATACATATTTTCTTTTTTTAAAGGTTTTTCCTATTTTTCATGGCATTTCAGTTGCTTAATTCAGTTTAGTTTAAATGTATGGTTCAAAATTAAATTTTTGATTGGCCTCTGGACTTGGGCTGTGGCAAATGCAGAAGGGGCTCTGTGACTTGATTTAGCTTTGGCTTTTTTTGCTTTGTGATCATTAGTAGTGTAGCTGTGGAGATGGTAACAAAATTTAATACATGTCAGAGTATCATTTTGTAAACAAAGCTAAATGTGTTTATTCTTGGGTTTTATGGATAGGTCAATACTTAAAAGCTAGGGAGTTGAGTTGAACAAGAAGTCCAGAGATGAGCTGTAATTCAGAACCTCTTCCTCTTATGCATGTCTCATATCCTTTCTACTTGTCCACTGCAAGTCAAAGCACATCTGAAAAGTGATCAGAGGCTGTTGGTCGGTTGTGGGTTTTTGTACTGTCCATGGCATTTCATGCAAAGCCAGTTCATCCACATATATTCAGTCCTGTGCCTTGTGAGGAACAGGAGTTAAAAGATTGTAAACAAAGATGAAGACAAAAAAAGAAAACCTGCTGTGTTCTGACACGATTTTATTTCATCAGAGTGTGCAAGAGAGAAACTTGTGTTCCATTCAAATGACACACACGTATACAGAAAACCTGTTCTTTGCCTTGGCATATGTTAAAGCTCTTGTTTTACTTGGCACAACTAATATATTTTAAGGTAGCATTTCCTCTGCCTAGACTTACACTAGACCTGAAAGAAAAAGATTCTTTATTTCTTCAAATGAGTGTCGAGCTCACCATCGTGTTTGTATTCCATCATCCTGTTTTATAGCACAGATTACTAATTTTTAGAAAGGAGAAGAAACAGCTTTCTTTGAGCATTTGTGTTCTGCAAAATTAAAGCAGTTAAAAAGCTATTCCTCTATTCTGTCTGTGCTCTGGATTTTGTACTTCTAGTAAGTCTAACAGGGTTAAGACATTGTATATACAATTTTTTTTTACAAGTGCATTGCCAATGTCCTACTTAATTTCCTGTTGGTATCTTATACTCCAGGGACTGGATCAGGTAAGCTATCAAGGTTCAAGAAGGGAAATTTGTATGGTTCTAGGTGTTTGCTGCTTATCCAGAAATAAGCTGCAGTGCTCATTTTGACAGCCCTGAACGTAAAACTCTTTTGGCAGCAGCACAAAGTTCCTCCTTTAGTATGCTTTTTTTCCCCTGTGTCCCATCTGCTTCTCACACCCTGTGTCCTCTGCATTGCTGAACTTCGTATTGGTTTCTGGTGCTTGGTGCTAGACTAACCTTGCTTCAGGTGACGCTTGTGATGAGGACCATAGGGAGGTGTTTTGGCAGATTGAAACCTCAGCACCTTATCTTACTAGTTAGTATAACTAGGCCAGGACCTGTCTAGGTCATCTGTATCCCATTATTTATCTTTCCAAGTGGCCTTCACCCAACTTCTAATGACTTCAAAATAGTAACTGTTACTTGTGCTGGATCAGTGCTGCATGATGGCATCAGCACAGAGTGGCCTAACATGCTGACCACCTCTGGCATATATATTGTAAGTTATTCAAGGTCTGACTTGGCTAATTTGGGAACAGTGCTGACGATTCCTTGATAATGAGTTGATTTAATCCCTCAGGGAGTAGCACGGCAAGAAAACCAAATGCTGACATACCTTAATTAGATGTCCCTTCCCAAGAGCTGCAGATCTCTTAAATAATAATGCATTCCTGTCCTGTATAGTGTACTACATTGGGTTTTGGTCATCTTTAGACTTTGCTGGGGATATGCAAGCAAAAGTTGGACACCACTGCATTATTTGTTCTTAATCTGTTACTTCATTTCTGAACTCCTTATATAGATAGTCAGAATTTTGACTCATTCTCTGTCTTAAAATTTCTCTCTGCTGCTTGGTGAGTGCAGTGTGGCATTCATTTCCATTGCACAGATTTCTGAACTTGTTTTCATGTTACTAGGTGTAACCGGGGCACGAAGCCAAACTGTGCAATGGCTGCAAGGTCTGTTTGGGAACAGCTGTTCTGTGTTGGCAATCTGAACCAGGGCAACCATTTCCACACTGAAATCATGGTCATGTACTCTGCGTTCGTATGTCGTTTGATGGATTCAGGTTGAATCCTGATGGTGGAGGATGCAAATGCGTAATGCAATAAGGTGCTGTTGAACAAGAGAACAGAAATAAATGGTGTCTGGCCTGTATTTGTGGCCTACAGCCTGGCAGTGTTGATGTGGTGGGTGAGGGTTGCTTAGAGTTCAGAGTTCTCACTGATTGCTGTATTTTCTACCTGTACTTTTAAATGGTCTCAACTTTGTCTCTTCTAGGAAAAGCAAAATGAAGGAATTAGTGTCAAACAGTACAACCAGTATATCTCAAGCCAGGAAGGCTGTGGAACAATTAAAAATGGAAGCATACATGGACAGAATGAAGGTAAACATAGACTGTTGTTGATATTTTGGGTTCACTGACTAGTTCATGGTACAGCATCACTTTAGTGTTGCAGAAAGACTCGACCAGCTGAAATCAAAATCCATGTTGAGCTGTAAAACAATATTCAGTACTGTGACTGAGTTATGTACTAACTGATTGGTTCTAGTGTAGTGATTTCCAAAGCCTGGCTTCTCCTCTGCTTCTGCATGAGTGTCTTTTACATCTGTCAGAAGTGGTATTTTGTGCCATACTTTAAATCAGCTGGCAGATGCACAGGTGCTCTTCTTTGTCTGTACCTGAATTTAAGTGCAGCTCGGGTTTCTTGATTTTTCTCCTTTAAGAATTGGACTAAGTCTTTAAGGTATTGCAATACTTTTGAATAATGATGAGACAAGCTGAACTGCTTTGATTTGTTTTCTTTTAGCACAGGCATAATTGCACAAAAAGTTTGTATGACTGTAATGTGCAGTTATGATTCTTCACACTTGATAACTTGTTGTTTGTGAAGATTTGGTTTTATTGTGCCTCTGAATGTATGTGGATGAAATATTTTTGCTATAGGCACTATTAAACAGAGGTCTTCAGCATTTTTAACCATAAGAGCCTGTAGGTTATTCTTGCCTGTCATTCTGCCTTCCACTAGGCTAAAATAAATCAAGCACCTAAAACCTAATAATGCCATAGAAAGATTTAAGAAAGCACTGCTCATTTCTTTTGCTCTCTGCCTCTGAAAATAGGAATAATTATTTGGATAAAAAAATCCAGTCTCTACAAGTAAGAGGAGTTTCTAATCTTTCCATCTCTAAAAAGCAATGCATTTAAATTATCCAGTTTTCTGCAGACAGCTGTAACTGAGTTGTTACAAACTGTAACTGTTTGTAACTGAGATCACTAACTCAGTAAAACAGTTTAGAAATGTTGCATGTTAAAGTCTTAACTCAGTCTGTTTGTCCACCCATCCTGTGTGCTAAAATTCTGCATGTAATCAGCATGGGGACAGTAGCATATAATGATGATTTTAAAAGTATTATCAGATCACAAACTCATTGATTGTAAAAGTGCAATTCACATGAGTAGTCAGTCTTGTTAATATGAAAATAGAAATTTTCACTTGCTCCATTTTGTGGCAGTTTTCAGCAATGCCTTTTAAGACCATTGAATTTACAGAAGTATAGCTCCTATCTTGTATAGTGTCTTAAAAATTCATCATGTAATAGATGCCTGTTCACGGGGACAGGTATTTCTATTTCCTGCAGAAAGGGAAGATTTGCCTTGTCAGTGCTCAGTGAGGTTAGTCCCTTGACTCAGGTCATATTGCAGCTGGATGAGCAGTACAACTGTCAAGAAGGAATGGGTGTGTGAGTGGCAGAGGAAAGGGTTGGAAAAATATGACCCAGTGTATGGAATTTGAAATTACAGATACTTAGCAGATTGTCTTAAACTTGCTTCTATATATTAAGTGGTAACTTTGACTTACGATATCATTAGCTCAGTTATGCAGATACCTTCATTAGTTAGGTGGATAACATTCTTAATTACACATGCAAGAAAGACCTAGATGATTTTTACAGTCAGTTTAATTAAAAAGAACACAGTTATTAGCAAGTGTGGCCGACCTAAAAAGCAGCTAGCTTGAAAGTGCAATTATTTCACCTTTCAAAACAGCTTGGGACCAAAAGGAAAGAAGAAAGAAAGCACCAAAGAAAATCTGATGTGTTTCAGAATTCTGAGGGTTCCTATACTAACATAAACCAAATATGACTTTTCAAAATGTTTTGATTTCTAGAATTTCTTTGAATAAGCATATGAGGGATTATGAGAAGAGGTCGATTGGCTTTTTATTCCTTTAAGATCTGCTTTGCTTTTTAGTTTTGAAAAAGTTAACTGTGTTTCAGCATAGCCAAATTTTACCGAGAGACTTTCCTGGTTTTGAGTTCTCTGATCACCACTGTACAAGTAGTGAAATGAAATTTCTTACTTTTTTTTTTCCTGGTGTTTTGCATCTGATTAAACTGGTTAGACATTTAACAAAAGATCTATGCTTTCCAAATAATTTGATTAAACACTGTTTTTCAAGTAGCTACAGCCAAGTGGTTATTCCCATAACAGCAAGACCACATTGCTAACATTAAAAAGGTGACTGTGTTATTGACTGGAAAATCAGAAGTTCCAGCTCATTTTTGTCTTACAGAGGCACTTTGTTTTCCATGCACAGTAGCTGCTGTAACCAGCAAGAGTTGGGCCTGCTTATTTAAAAATCTTGTAGTTAAAATTGTGTTGATAGTTGCCCATTCCCTGCTGTGTTCTGGATTTTTCATCTGACTTTAAAAATGCAGCCCTACAACCAGTCAGAGCAGCAAGCAGCACAGTGTTCTGAGGTTCCACAAAGACAACTCTCTGTTGAGGTGTGAAAGAAAATCGACAGCTTAAAAGGGGAGGATGAAGTTGTTGGTGTATTGATTGGTAGTTGGAACTGTGGGAGTTTTTTGTAAACTGTAGGAATCCCAGATGGATTGTAAATTGAACCTGTCTTACTTGCCTACAGAAGGTACAGCCAGAGTTATTGTAATGAAGTAAGTAGAAAGCAGGAAATGCAGATTCCAAGCTAGAAAGCATCAAATGAAATCAGGCAATGGCCTCATGACTAGTAGAATTATGTGTCTTCTAAAGATGTGAGCAGTGATGTTGAGGAAGCAAAGGTAATATTGGTGTTTATCAGAGATGTCCTCAGGATAAAGCACTATTTAATCTTCTCTTTGCAAGCAGAAAAGCAAGGAAGGGTGCTCTGACATTTAAGAATCTTGGTATATCAGTTATTGTTCCATTTGCTTTTACCTTAGGAATACAGGAAGCATTCCTAACTGGTTCTGAATAGTGCTGGGAGATAAATGGTGGGATTGCCAATAAATGTGTGTGAACCTCTTTGTTTTAGATGTAGGGGATAAGCAAAGTGGGTGTCGTAGCAAGGATGGTAATTATTCACAATCCATGACAAGACAGATGACACAGTAATTGCAGCATTTTGCCCTGTCATTGAAGCTTATAATTATTAGTGCAGCTAACAGGATTATGTTCTAATTTTGGTTGTTTTTATCACCTTTGTTTTTCTGAAATATAACGGTAACATTTCACGGTCCTTCTGTTAAACATTTTGTTGGATTTTTTTCCCCCTTTTGATAATTTGACAACAAGATGTATTTTTCACTATACAGAGTAAAAGTAATTGTATAAAATGTCAGGTAAAAAGTGTGATTCCTATATCCTCCATCCCTTCTATCTATATACTTAAAAAAAAAGAGAAATGCTAACTTTCTGTTAGAACTCATCAATCAAACTGGAGCCTGAGTTTTTTTTCTTTAGCCACTTCTGCAATATGTATGAATTACTTGAATCTGCAGACCAAGCTGTATTGCATAGGAGAGCTGACAAAAATGTTAGCCTCATTTGAATATTCAAATTACATGCCTTTATTTTAATTATTAATAAAGGCAGTTCTGAAATTGTCCAGCAGCATTCGGTTGCAAATAACCCTCAAGGTGAGTAAAAGCTGTGAGAGAGTGGCCTCCATTGAGGTCGCTGCCTGGCACAGACAGGATCCCAGCACGCTGCACAGGAGCAGACCGCAGCGCTGGCCACCTCTGCATGCTGACGTGTGCTGGAGCAGCTGTCACTGCTGGAGCCTTAATGCGATGCTCAGTGCAGAGGTCTCCCGCCACTGTTGGTCTGAATAATAACTCTGAGCAGGAAACTTGCTGGAGGCAACATTGTATTTTGCTCCTTTTTTTTTTTTTTGGCCGCAGCTCTGACTTTGCCAGCACTGCTCATAGCCACAGGAACCCGTGTTTTCCTTGCTCCTGCAATGTAATCAGCTAACTTAACTCCCCACAGTGAGTGGTCATTATTCCACTGTGCAAGCCTAAGCTACTCCACTTTTAGTGAAGAAATGGCCATAATTCACTTTTATAACTACTGTAATCCCAATGGGAGGATTTCAAGGATGCAAATGTATGGTCTAGTAAAGGTTTAGTTTGTGGCAATGTGCTGAAACCTGATCACGTTCCTCATGTTCCTCAATTCCTTGCTTCAGGTTTGTTTTCTGCTGAATTGTACTATGGTTTGTTTAAAAGCAAACTAAATTGTGATTTAAACACTGACGCTGAAGAAAGTGTTGCTCTGCTTCATGAGTGGTTGCTCTGTTACAGGCCATCCCTGCCAGCACTAGAGGACAAGTTAGATACAAAAGTGTGTGTTGTGCTTTTGCTAATGAAAATACCTTTTCTTGTTACATGACATCAAAGCACAGTAATATGCAGAGAAACAGGAAATTATATTATTGGGTTTATCCCAATGATGACTGGAATTGTACTTTCCCTCCATTGAGGGAAAAGCATTATACTTGGGCTGATGCTGCTTATCCATGAGTGGAACAAACATCATTATGGGAAAGTTGGTCTGTTGAAGTCTGGAGATCATTCTCTGCTGCAGGTCAGTTTACTTATAAAGATTGTTGGTTTCATGATGTTGTGGCAGAGCGGGAGCTTCAGACAGTTTGTTAGAGAAGCTCCAGTTGAGTCATGGGCTGCAGAAAGGACTCTCTTGCTTTCTAAACTCCTTCCCAGAGAGGAGTCTAGGTGCAGCTGGATCCAGTCTTAGCCCCAGACATTGTCAATAGTTTATGTCCAAATGGTTATACAACTTTGTCCTGCAGGGATTAAGGATGGCAAACCGTATATATAAATATGATTTGTTTGTTTTGCATCCAGAGGAGCAAAGAATAGAGAGAGGGTTTGTGGAAAACCTTACAACCAGTGACTGGGAGTAAGAGCTGAAGCAGGTGACCTCTACAGGAACAGAGACTTCAGGGAGAATCCATGGTGCTTATGGGCCATCAGCATATGAGAATGATTAGACAAAAAAGATTTTAGTCAGAATTATTTACTCTACAGTGTAGGAGCTGTAAAAACTATTATAATAGAGACTATTATAATACAGTGCACTACAAGGCATTATTGAAGCAATTATATTAAAGCAATTGTGTTAAAGCTAGCAAAACCAATTATTAAGTAGAGATTGATGTTACTCACCCATACCAATGACCGTGGGCAAATCTCTCACTCAGCCTCGAGGAGTTACCTTGAGGGGCATCCCCAATCAAGGGAGGAATCTTCACACATGCACTCCAAGAAGAGATGTGCTAGAAGACCCTGCCTTTAAAATCTGGAACTGAGCTTTTATAGCATAAAGTGATTGACTGTCAGTCAGATGTGTCCAGGCCAGCTGTGTCAGCTCAGCAGTTTTAGATAAGTTATTAGCAGTATCATTTGTTTGTTCCTTTACCAGTTTACTATATATTCATCTCTCTATCAGGATGTTTAACTTTGGGATTGATGAGTCAGGCTGGTTTCAGCATTATCCAACATCAAAAGCAGCATGACACCCCCATCTTCATTTAGCACTGGTAGCTTTTCAAATAGAGCATTTTTCATGTTGTTTTATCCCATTCCAAGGCAGAGCATCCTGCTACATATGACTAAAATAACTTCCTCATTAGCTTAATAATTGAAGGTGAAATGTGCTGGGCATCTTTATAAGCCCTGTCTCTGGGACCCAGAGAATTAGAGGAGCTCTCCATGAGGTTTTATGGCAGCAACATTTATTGTGATACTGCACTGAAGATGTCATTGAGCTTTTGATGGACACCTGTGGCTCTGAGTTTGACTTACTCTGTTTGAATGCAAGAGATCAGGACTAGCTACTAAATTAATTAGAGCATAGATCTGCCTTAACTTGAGACATGTATCTGATCTTGAAGGGCATACTGAAAAGTGTAAATGTGGATGTTAAATTATTATGAATGTATTGTTGGTTGTCATTACTTGAAAGTACTTCTCCAAAATGCTGTGGTGGCACATTCTTCCTGACACTCCTGGAAGTGTGCTAAGCTCCTCTTCAGGGGGTGCTAGTTTATAATCTGCTGAGGTACAGCTACATCATTAGTAAAGAAAACTGTGTTTCAGGCTTGATGGGAATTTGATAGTCTGTCTACATTGTGCCTTTCCTTGGAGAGTAATTTTAAAAATTCAGAAGAAAATGTAAATGAAAATTGGGAATATGATAGAATTCCTAAGTTTTCTGTTTATACATTACAGATCTATCTCTCTGTTCTCGACAGTGCCCTTGTACACTAAGCCTCATTCTTTTGCCATTGTTTAACAAGTAGCTAATTGAAATATGTCTGAAAGTGATTACAAGCCTTTGTACTTTGAAGTGTGTAATTTTCCACACATTTTTGTTTGACCTCCTTGTTTGAGAAGCACTGGCCCTTCAAAGTATCTCTGCTGACTTGCTCAGCTTTCTGCTTTGCATGTGCCCAGCAGTCTGCTGTTCACATATAGTGCCTCTGCCCACCCTTTTGCCTTACAGGCCAGTTCAAAGACAAACTAATTTTAAGTAACCTAAACACCCTTGTGTCCTCTGCTAGGAGGACAGTCTATACTGGGATGCCAGCCATGGGTACTTTGTGGTTTAAGTGTTCTACAAAGGCAAGTTTTAGTAGATATGTAAAAAAATAAAAAGTCAGTTATTTTCTTCCAGAAGTTAATTTAAATTTCATGCAAATTCTGATCCAACACCCATTGACTTCCTAGGTCTCATCTGAAGCCTAGTACAGGCTGGGCTCATGTCAAAGCAATCAGGGTGTGGGGAGGCTTAAAGCTAACATTGCTGACACACCTGCTAGAAAAAATACCAGAAAATCAATTTGTTTTTCCTCCTCACTACAGTTGTGCAAACATGCTGATCTTGGGGTTTGACTCAGGAGAGCCTGTCATGGTGCTCAGAGAAAAGACTTTTCTGTAAAGACTTCCTATTTCATTTTCTCAACTATCAGAATGTTGAAAACACAGTAATTCAACAAAGCAGAGAGATACAGATAGCTGTGAACATCTTGCTGACTGAGCAGAACAAAAATATTTTGTATATGCATTCTAAATTCTTGAAAAAAATAGATGAGTCACAGTGACCTAACATCACCGATACTCTTATGGCACAAAGCTGCAAAGATTACAAGGTTTAATATCCCATTTTTCATTGAATGCAAAATATCTTACATGCCAACACACTGCAACATTTTTGTATTTACTTATTTTCAGTAAGCATAAACCAATGTTCTGAATTTGGAGACTTGAGGACTGTTTATTTTAGAAGTATAAAAATATTAAGATTACAAATATTAAGGTATTGCTGAAGTTTAAATAAATGCTATGAATAAAGTACTACTTACAGTAGCTTACTAAGCAACAGTCTTACTTCATTGAAAAGAGCAGTATTTAGCTTAAATGAGAGCTATGACACATGATTAAGGTTTGTTGCTGATTTATTAGTTCTTTATAATCCCATGGTCATGTGCCTAAAGAACTTTTTGTTTGTGTTGCATCCAGAGGAGCAAAGAATAGAGAGTGTGTTTGTGGGAAGCCTTACAAGCAGTGAGTGGGAATAAGAGCTGAAGCAGGTGGCCTCTACAGGAACAGAGACTTCAGGCAGAATCTATGGTGCTTATGGGCCATCAGCATATACATGTCTCAATGAGTATGTGCTCCTGACCTTCTGAGGGAGAGGAAAGGCTGAACAGGGGTCATACAAATTGTTACCATCTCATGTACCTGTGTTAGATAACAGTATGTCAGGATTACTAGGCCTAGTAAGAGCAAACTGAGAGTTGTGGTCTCTAATAATATAAAGGATAAAGCAGTCTACTCTATGTTTTATGATAGCTTCCATTATCATATGCTCTATGAAAAATATCTATGCAATGCAGATTGGTTCAGAGTTGTGTTACAGTAGTTCTCTCTTCTCTTCTATTAGGTATCCAAGGCTGCAGCAGATTTATTGGCATATTGCGATGCGCACATTGGAGAAGATCCTCTTATTATTCCAGTGCCTGCATCTGAAAATCCCTTTAGGGAGAAGAAACTCTTTTGTACTATCCTTTGAGTCAGTTTTCAATTAAAAATGCCTTCTGCAAAACATTTGGTATAGTGTTGCATGCTTTTAGCCTTTTTTCCTTCAGATATCAATACTTACCCTATAAGTACAATAGTTTAGAAGGTAGTGCATTCTCGGCTGAAAAAATAAAAATTTTAAAAAATCCTAAAAAATTCAGGTAGTCCTTATCTCTCAGACCAATGTACAAGCTTAATTTCAGTTCTTCATAAAGATTCTTTTGCTTTTAATGAAAGTATCGAGTACAGTATCAAATTGTAGATATCTTTGCCAGTCATAGATTTTTCCGAGACCTAAATGAGTCATACCAATTCTGGAAGCTATTTTTAACATTCTTATTTTCTTCAGAAGGTGAATTTAATTCATTTGTCTTTACAAATTTGTATCTAAGGAGAGTAGTGTGACCTTCCTTCAAGTAGCACTATTTGGGAAAAAAATCCCAGTGATTTACTGTGTTTGGAATGATCAGTCTTATACAGTAAGAGGTGTTTATAAATATGTTTTCTGGAGACTGTAAGAAACTTGAATACAAAACCAATCTTAGTCAAGCAACATTGTAACTACAAGCAGAATGAAGATGTGTATTTACACACCAGGATTGCATCAATAAAACTGTAGAAAAACATGGTTGCTTGTATCTTGTTTTGAATGATAATGATAACTGTGCTGAAATATTATCAGCTGTTCCTGGGGGTCTTAGTGAAGGGTGTAAAACTGCCCTGAACAGCACAGGGAGGGGGATTACATTTTCTGAGCAGCTCTCTCCATGCTTTTGCCCATTAGAGTAAGACTTTATGGGGATGGCCAGTAATTGGAAAATCACTGTTGTTCTGCAATATGCAGTGAGACCTCTGTGCCATGGACAGCCACTATCCTTGTAGATTTTGTAGCCACAGATTAGCCATGAGATAAGCTGTCAGCAAATAATTTGTGGAGGTTCTGGGAGGTTTTTTAGTTTGACTTTGTTTAAAGTGCAGCGAGAGGAAAAGAATGAGGTATGGAATATGACTGTCTTCTTCAATAAGTAAAAGTAAGCTCAATCAAGGCACCTGATCGAAGCAACTGTTAAATTACAGAATCTTTTGTTTTAATTCTCCTTAAAAAATAAGTGAAAGCTCCTCTCTGATCTGATGCATTAGGACAGTTCCCTCACTGCAGCACTCCACAAGTGCAGTGTGTATCAGTCAGCCCCGTACATAAGGCAGGAGACAATTTGTTGGAGAGCTGCACTACCCTGACTGAGCTGAGACTCTAAACAGCCCATAATGGAGCTGGTTCCTCCCCTCCTCAGCACAAACGTCAATACCTGTGAGGCAAAGACTAGCTGAGGAACTGAGGGCTTCTGGGATATATTTAAATGCTGAATTTAGATGCTAAAAAGGACAGTTTGGGGAATGAAGTCGTGTGCATTTAGTCCAAGGTACATGTACTTTCTCCAGCTTATTTTTAGCAGTTTCCATCAGTCTCTGGTGCACTGTTTTGTGCAGTGGAAAGACAAGATGTCTGCATTGTAGAGGCTTTGTTTTCTTTGCCAACCAACTTGGACAATATGCCGCACCCGAAATCCCAAAGAGTGAGATTCTCCTAAGAATATTGGAATTTTTTGTAGATGTACAAAATTTCCCTCAAATTTTTTCTTCAAATAGTTGTGAGTGTGTTGGACTTATGTTTTTGATAGCTTACTGGTCCCCATGTTTGTGGTTTCTTTCATCCGTTCATAACTTTGATCAGGTAAAAATACTTGTGTCTATTAAGATGGTTTCATACTTCTAAATAATATTCAGCTACCAGGCTGGGCACACAAGACAGGTGGCTTTGGACTGTGGTTCTGTTGCTGACAGAACTCTCCTCATGTCTCACGTGGAACCTGCTTGCAATATAATTGTAAAAAAACCCAACATAATATTCCTTTTAACAAACAGGCTTTGGGGATGTCTTTCATTTAGAGATTTGTTTCTGAATTTGGCAGTTGAAGACATCAGTGTCTAGTAGCCACAGAGCTACTTCACAGCACCTATTCTAAAACACATTCAAATGTCTTGAACAGGTCTTGTCTTGGGTAGATTCATCCCTAGTTCCTATTTCAGAGTTTTCAGCTGAAGATTCCCATTCCTAACTTCTAATAGGAGTATTTCTTGATGCATGGTGTGTCCAGCTTTATTTTGGGGGTAGAGAAATTGGCTTTAGCTAACTGAGTAACTATTTTATTGACAGTAAAATAAAAACAGCTTTCTGAAAATATTTGTTAAAAAGGAACAACAAAATGCTTAATAAGGTTCTTTAGGGAATCCTTCCTACACTGTACATGATTTGGTAACTGCTCTGATCACCATGGCAACATTTTCATTTGTCCTTCCGCATGTATGTTTTTAACTGGAACAGCATGGGAGGGGAATATAGGGCATACAGCTTTATTCTCAGAGGCTTTGTAACAACTTGCATTTGTGGCTCATCATTAACATTCCCATCTAAAATAACAAAATTGCCACAGCTCACTGCAGTATTGCAAACAGCTTGATTTCTGGTTTCAATTAGGGTTAGCATCTGAGGTCCTGAGACTGAAATGTTTCACAGTGGTTTTGAGCATTGCTAGTTATGAGAGCTGCATCTACGAAAAATTCCAATATTCTTAGTCAGGAGAATCTCACTCTTTGGGATTTCATTTTTCCCTCAAATTTTTTCTTCAAATAGTTGTGAGTGTGTTGGACTTATGTTTTTGATAGCTTACTGGTCCCCATGTTTGTGGTTTCTTTCATCCGTTCATAACTTTGATCAGGTAAAAATACTTGTATCTTTTAAGATGGTTTCATACTTCTAACTAAAAACAAAGAAAAAAGAGAAACACACGAAGCACCCTAAATTATGTATATATTTTAGCAGATATCTATAATGTGTCTGAAGTGGTTAAACTGTAGAAGCATAAAGCAGCTTTCTCTAATGTCATTGGGCCTTATTTACCTGCTCTTTGAAGCCACAAATCAACATTTAAAAGAATATCTTTTCCTCCAGTCCCTTCAAACCATAAAACATCTTTGTCATTATTACAGTTTTTGCTGCTTTGGCCTTTGAGGTAGTTTACATAATCTGCTATCAATAGCTGAGTTTAGTGCTCAAACATCTTGCCTCAACTCGACACAAAAATATCTGAATATTTATGGACATTTTTCTAGAAAACAAATTAATATATCGTGCAGTATAGCATGATAGAAAAAAATAACACTCTCCAAAATGTGGCTTTGTCTAACAGTAAGGTTTGCTGTGGGCTAAAGCAATGAGTTTTTATTTTCATCAAATGGTCTGATTTGATTCCTACTAGCTTCAATAAAAACAAGACCAGGCCTGCTGCCATCCTAATGCTGCATTCCTCTCTCTCTGTTTTATTTCATACACCATTAGGCTTGTCAATTTGTATTTCAGGCCCAGAACGTAATGCTCCTGGTTAACCGCGTGAGTTGGGGCTGTCACCTCATGGAATGAGAACCTCAGAACAGAAGCTGGATTCAAGGAGTTTTTGACATGTTATTAGCAATCCTTTCTTCATCTCCTAATGCTTGTTGCTCTGATGAGACTTCCCAGTGCTGGATTTGTGGTAAATTGCAATGTATCAGTAGCACATGTGGGTCTGGCTGTTTTGCATTCCTCAGATTAATCTCCTTGGTTTACCTTGAATTTAAAATGTTACCATTTCAATACTAAAAGCAATTTCCTTCATCTCTATTATGTACTAAATTCCCCTGCTTTGCTTCCTACACCATGTATTAACTTAGTAACAGGGTGCTTGGCTGGTGCTGATTGGTAAGATTTTTAATCTAGCCTTTACGAAATTATGGTTAAAGGAGGGGAAAAATATGGAGGGAAGTTTAAATTAAGCTGTTCTACATCACACCATAGGTTAAAATATATATTAGCTTTGCTGTCAGTGACACTAAGGTAAACACTTGATTTGTAAGAACATCATAACCAAGCATTTTTGTAGTGACTTACAATAGGATCAGCTTCAGCAGAAGGAAAGAACTCTTTAAGAACAATGTGCTGTGAAGGTGCATATTAAAGCCTGGAACTTCAATATGCAGGCATTTACCCAGCTGGATTTCTGGTATCAAAGGAGTAACAAAATACATACTTTGGGAGGACCTGATTTACATAGTTTTTCCTATCTCTTAATTACAGAATCATAGAATGTTAAGAGGTCAGAAGGGACCTTGGAGATCATCTAGTCCAATCCCCCCACCTATATAGGGATAAAAATCTGTATACATTATTCTCCTAGAAAATGCCACAGTTATGACTCTCCTTTGGGTCTGCATCAGAACCTGGACTTGTTTCTTCAAGGAGATTAAATAAACCTGGTAGGAGGAGAGGTTCCTAAGAAATACAGGTTTATTGCAGTGAAAACTAATACTTACAGTCATTAGCCTGACTTAAATAGTAATGTGTGAAAAATAGTGGGCAAAATCATCAGAATAAGTGCTAAATAAAATTTTACAGGCACCTGCATATATAATCTTTAGGGAGAATATTTGGAATAAATATTGTAGATTTGCATCTAATTGAATTCAGCTTTATAGCACTATTAAATTAAGTGCAGCCATAAATACCAGAACTGGTATGGGAACAACTTTTCTGTGTGTTAGAGGAAGATGTTCGTCTGAGTTTGTCAAGTACGTTTACACCACTCACGCTTGTGAACAAACAAATGAGCAGCTTTACCCTAAAATTGGGTCTTTTCTTTCCCAAATTCCTATTGCAAGTAGAAATTGCACAGGCTCGTCTGTTACTGCCACCTACTGATACAGTTATAAACAGCTGATTGAGACAGAAAAAAATAATGCCAACTAGTAATTACCAAAGGGGATTTTAAATTAGTACACATGCTGTCAGAAACGGAGCCAGCACTTCTGTTCCAGTGGGCTGCACTGTGCAAGGTATCGTGTGCCCCTGTGGCACTGGTGCACTTCAACCTCAGGCTTCAGTTCCAGACTGCTCAGTTT